CTATGAAATATTTTATCACTAACATTTCCGAAATGGAATAAGTTATATTTGTTTGATTTAGATATATCTCGGAAGAACATGTAATTAGCATGATGCAAGAACATTAATCTATCTGTTATCCGTGCTCATGAAATATGATGTCGATATCCACATGCTGTATAATTATATGATTTAGAGTAATAAAGTGTCATATAAAATGGCTTACACAGATGGCTGTGCATCTTGTCCTACAGAGTTGCCTAGACTTGCTGCTCCAGAGAGATTGAAGATAAAATCTTGTATGAAATTCTCTATAGGTACCTGTAGACTCTCTTGTCTTCTACGATTGCTATCACCAATAGAAAAAAAAGTAAAAAAATCAAAATTATTATCTTAATAATTGATATATTGTCGTATAAGTGTAATGCCCTGGGTAATCCATCTTAAAACTGATTTATAAAAATCGTGTAATAATTGCAACAAACATTTCATACATACATTGTTGCCAACTTAGAATAAATGTTCTTTTTTTTTAAGTTTGTTTTAAAATTAGTACTCCATGTACAAAAAACGTTTTTTAAGGAAAAAAGCTTTACACGTATAATAATAATAATAATAATAATAATAATAATAATAATAATAAAATAATAAGAATTAAAATTCGATATCTCTTCTAACGATGGCAAACTTCTACACGAGTGCAGTGATTTGAAAAATCGAAGTATAATAAATGAGAGGAAATTAGGAGAAGTTACACATCGACCGCTGAAATTAACTCCTTCACGGATTATTCCGCTTCGCGGCTCGCTTTATTAAAAAGTGACTGAAAAATAGAGGTTATATATATGTACACACATACATACGCATTTATATATATCGGATGCTAAATTTCAAACGTAACAGGCCGAATATCTCGATAGCTAAATGAAATATCGAAGTCCGGTTTCTTTTTTATGCGTCCATCCAAAGTCAAATTCTTTTTATTAAAATTTATCCGCTTCGAAACGATACAACCTAAAAAAAAACAGACCTCGAGATTTCATTTAGTTATCGAGATATTCGGCCTATTATGTTTGAAATTTAACATCCTGTATATACATATATTTATATATAAGTTAAATAATTGTAAATTTAGACATGCACAAAATAATGTATGTTCTGTCGTATTAGTATATTTTTACATAGAAATAGTAGTAGTAACAATAATAACAAGAACATAAAATAGCTATATTTCATTTGATTATGTTAGAAAAAGACTGCAAAAGGGAGAAATAGAGTAAGTTTTTAAAACTCTCTCTCTCTCTTTGAAGTTGTGAAATGATGTAATGTCCCATTTTATGTGTAAAATGTGTAAAAAAAAATATCTGTTATCCGTGCTCATGAAATATGATGTCGATATCCACATGCTGTATAATTATATGATTTAGAGTAATAAAGTGTCATATAAAATGGCTTACACAGATGGCTGTGCATCTTGTCCTACAGAGTTGCCTAGACTTGCTGCTCCAGAGAGATTGAAGATAAAATCTTGTATGAAATTCTCTATAGGTACCTGTAGACTCTCTTGTCTTCTACGATTGCTATCACCAATAGAAAAAAAAGTAAAAAAATCAAAATTATTATCTTAATAATTGATATATTGTCGTATAAGTGTAATGCCCTGGGTAATCCATCTTAAAACTGATTTATAAAAATCGTGTAATAATTGCAACAAACATTTCATACATACATTGTTGCCAACTTAGAATAAATGTTCTTTTTTTTTAAGTTTGTTTTAAAATTAGTACTCCATGTACAAAAAACGTTTTTTAAGGAAAAAAGCTTTACACGTATAATAATAATAATAATAATAATAATAATAATAATAATAATAATAATAATAATAATAATAATAATAATAATAATAATAATAATAATAATAATAATAATAATAATAATAATAATAATAATAATAATAATAATAATAATAATAATAATAATAATAATAATAATAATAATAATAATAATAATAATAATAATAATAATAATAATAATAATAATAATAATAATAATAATAATAATAATAATAAAATAATAAGAATTAAAATTCGATATAAAATTTTATATTCTGGGATATGTATAAACAAAATTATGTAAAATCTGTCATGCTAACATGAGATTCAAAGGTTATAATGATTGATATACATTCCACATTTTACCATACCAAAAATAAAAAAGAGAAGGCACACACTCCATTTGTTCAAATTTAGTATCAAATATTTAAACGAGTAAAAAATACATCAACCATTTATAAATTATTTTTGAAAATTTTAAATTGCATCGCTATATGTAATATCAATAGTGTCCAATGGCATGGAAAAAGACATGATATACCTGCTGGTACGACGCCCATCTTGAGGAGCACGAGGCCAATTAGATCTTCTTCTACTTCCAAGCACATAGTTTCTGTTGCCTGCACCCGACTGTTGATTGGTACTTGATTGCTGATTGGTATATGTATTTGAAAGCCCCATTATCATTTCTATTATGTCACGATCACGTTCGGAGCGCTGTGAAGAAGACTGTGTCAAGTAGATAGTGTTAATAATAATTATACATATTTTAATTGTTATGTATTAATTTTTAACTAAATTAAATTACTCACGTTGTATCCTATGATATCGACATCTACATCGCTCAGATCTTCGCTATTCACATCCATACCTGAACTACCTTCATTGCTGCTACTTTCCAGCTCTTCGATAAAACCACATGCGCATCGCGGACATGTGTAATTCTAATTAAAAATCAAATATCAATCATGCAAATCAATATTGTGTGTTGTCTTAAGTTGCAGGATTAATGGACTTATTGTTTGAATACATATATATATATATATATATATATATATAATGTAAAAAATGTAAAAAAAAATATAACAGAATTGGCGCGCGCGCACCACCCACCCACCCACACACACACACACACACACACACACGCGCGCGCGTACAAATATAATTTTGTATTCAGTATATTAAGATGCAAATTTTGCATACATTTTTTATTTAATTGATATATGACATTTTTGTATCTTAATAATTCTATATATAGATTACACAATTTAATCGATCAGATCATGTAAATATACATTTGGCTGAAACTGAGAATCAATTTGCAACCAAATGTACATATGCCTGGAGTAGCTTAAAGGTTAATCAAAGTACGTTATTTTTCATCCAAACGGCAAATTTTGATCGCGAAAAACGATCGTAAGAACGAACGCGTTATACTCTTTAGAAAAGAATCATTCGTAAGACTGTCGCGAATAGGATTCGTTCCATATAATGTCAAAATTTCGGACATTATTATACAAAAAAAAAAAGGAAAATGCACAATCAGAGCACGCGATAGTATTGATTTGTTGTTTGACGTAAAAGATCGAAAGATAGATCAAAGTATTGTTTTTCGTAAGAACATAGGGTGGGAGAGACGAACTTTCCGCACATGACATCGTAATGACAGTTTCTCGGAACGAACATCCTTTTTACGATACATTTACAAGGTTACACGCGCCAAAACAACACAACTAGTAGATAATCGTTACAAAAGAAGTTGCAAAGTACTTACTGGCAACAAACGCTCAATTTCGACACTGCATTTGTGGCAAAAAAATCGGGACATCGGACTCCCGTCCACAACGGCCTCCGCCATGTTTAACGTGTCCCTCACCTTCTCTAGTTATCAGTACTCGTACTGTCGTAATTACGGTTGAATTGGTCCGACTCGGCTCGGCTCGACTCGACTCGATTCGACTCGATTCGACTCGGCTTGATTCGGGGTACATTCCACTTGAGTTGCGTTCAAATATCTATTCATTGGTTGAGTAGCGTTTCATTGACCAATCAAAGGTGCGCTCCTCTTGATGCTATTCTTGCTTCGAAGCGCAAGTTCTTTTTCACCCTAATTGGTTCATTAAACGCTTCAAAGCGAAAATAGAATCAGAGTGCGAACCCATGCAGCGGAATAGCGTAAAGCCTATCACACACAAATTGGCATAGCTGCATATGCATAACATAAGACCGTCTGGACCAATGAGCATCGAAATAAAATCGCCATATTGATTTACATAGCATGTTCATTGGTCCAGATGGTCTTATGCTATGCATATGCAGCTATGCCAATTTGTGTGTGATAGGCTTTACGCTATTCCGCTGCATGGGTTCGCACTCTGATTCTATTTTCGCTTTGAAGCGTTTAATGAACCAATTAGGGTGAAAAAGAACTTGCGCTTCGAAGCAAGAATAGCATCAAGAGGAGCGCACCTTTGATTGGTCAATGAAACGCTACTCAACCAATGAATAGATATTTGAACGCAACTCAAGTGGAATGTACCCCGAATCAAGCCGAGTCGAATCGAGTCGAATCGAGTCGAATCGAGTCGAGTCGAGCCGAGCCGAGTCGGACCAATTCAACCGTAATTACGACAGTACGAGTACTGATAACTAGAGAAGGTGAGGGACACGTTAAACATGGCGGAGGCCGTTGTGGACGGGAGTCCGATGTCCCGATTTTTTTGCCACAAATGCAGTGTCGAAATTGAGCGTTTGTTGCCAGTAAGTACTTTGCAACTTCTTTTGTAACGATTATCTACTAGTTGTGTTGTTTTGGCGCGTGTAACCTTGTAAATGTATCGTAAAAAGGATGTTCGTTCCGAGAAACTGTCATTACGATGTCATGTGCGGAAAGTTCGTCTCTCCCACCCTATGTTCTTACGAAAAACAATACTTTGATCTATCTTTCGATCTTTTACGTCAAACAACAAATCAATACTATCGCGATGACGCAACGCGCGATATCCAATAAGAGCTTTATTTTTTCCGAAAAGCAGAGCTCTCATTGGGTATCGCGCGTCGCATCATCGCGCTGGGGCCATATTCTTGAAAAATATCGCATACGATATTTGTCATCTCAGGGAGTAGCGCGCCTGACTCACATCCCAGAGAACTCGGGTTCGATTCCCGACTCCGACCCTGGCCGGATCAGTGCACATGGTTTTAAAATCGTAGTAGCCTAATAATTAACTACCAAACGTTGTAATTAGACTACCAATCATCACCAAACGATTGTCTTTCAATTAAGAAAAATTTGAACATGAACATTGAACATGAACATTGAAAATTTGTAATATCGGGAATGGGAGATATACACTTAGGGCATCAGACTCACGAGAGGGCACTGAAAACTGTATACGCAAAAATACATTACGCTCTTATGAGACCTTCCACTCTATCTAATTCTCTTTGGTTCTAAGAAGTTCGTTGTTCGTTGTCGCCCGCGGACGGGAACGGACGTGTTCAGACACGTTATGCGTGTACCCTTTGGATTTTATTTTTGAGTTTTATCTTCCCCTTCTAAAGAGGAATTCTTTCTAATTATTCACTTAACCGTTCTCACCTGGCCGAGTGGTGGGTAATTACCTAACCAGTGCCAATCAAACGAAGAAGAAGAAGAAGTATATATGTTCTAAGGATGGCATTGTCCGCGAAGCGCGATGATATAAAGCAAGTGCCGTGGTTTTCTCTGTAAGTATTAATTTCCAAATAATTTTCTTGATAATGGAACGGTAAATGACGAAAAGTAACCGATAATGATTCTCACTTGTTGATATCACAAGAACGGAATGGCATGATGTGTATAAACAAATTTACTCCAATGATGTGACTGAGCAAATGAAAGCATATGAAGCACTTTTAGCATGGAAAGCCAGGTATAATTGTTGATTACGCATTTAATTCACTGGTAAGACCCATTTTAAACAATATTAAAAGATTTTTTTTTCAGGATGCCGAAATTACCGGTAGGTGTGGACTGCACCTTATCGATTTTGCAAGTGTGCCTTCGTGATCGTGAATGGACATCCAAGATTGACAGTGGCGAGCTGCCAATGTACTGCGAGAATGATTTGAGTTTAATGTACTCGACTACCATCATGAGATTCTTGAATCATTTTTGCAATATAGGGCACACGAAACAGACATCCCTATTTCAGATTGCCAAGCAACTCAGAATTCCAGAGTGGATAGTTAATTTAAGGCATCAAGCTGCTCACGGATATGAATTACCTTCTATTGGAGTATTAAGGATAGCGATTAATATATTACTCCATTGGTTACATGTATGTTTATCTCTATTTTGAATATAATATGTTGCATATAGTAATATGTGTACTTTCAAAGTATCGCTTTTAAAGGATGAATATTGGGCAGCAGAAGCATGTGCGATAGAAAGATGTTATATGGAAGAAGCTAATATGTTAGAAAAAAAAGAAGATCTCGAAGAGATACAGGCCTTTACAGAGTTAATTGAACTTTGGACAGCTGTTAGTTTATATATTGATGCTGGTTATAAATTAGTGTCAAATTTACCAGAGGTACAATTACGGTATGTATATTTTTGTTGGAAACTAAATATTAATTTATTGTCATAACTTTCTTCTTTTTCTTTGGACAACAATTCCACAATGTATAGAATTCAATTATGTATATAGATGAGACTTTATCTTTCAATTTATTTTTTAATATTAAATTAGGGAAATATTGCAAGATTTACGGACGTATATGTTGTCCCAGTATTGTGGTAAAACTTTACAAAATGATGAGAACGAATATATATCCATTCATGGAAAAACTATAAAGATTGATAAGGAATACAATTTAAAAGCTGCGCAAGCTCTACTTTTATCTGAAATATCTATGCATTTGACTGAAAATAAATCTTTAATCACGATACGTAAAAAGAGTGACATAATTTGCAATGTGTTGCTAAAGAATGAAGCTTTTCTACCAAATTCAGATGTTATGCAAGTTTTTCAACAAAAAGGAAGAAAGAATATTGATTTGAAAAGAAAGATTTTGCCACCCGGTATGCTTCGATTTTGGAAAGATATCATTTTCTTGCTGCATAACAAAAAGATATTAGACATACTGATGTTTAAGCTGCTCAGTATCATAAATCAAGAACAAGAAAGTAAGGAAAAAAGAATTCTCGCTACCTTATGGATAAGCTCTATCGCCTACAGTTTTATTCAACTAGATCTGGCCCAAAATATTTCTCGTACTATGGAATATAAACCAACAAAGGAGGGCACAAAAGTAGCTGCAAAGTCAGCTCTAAATCAGCATCTCAAAGAGCTTGTACATCATAGTCATCCATATTTGCGGAATGTTTTGTGGTTGAATATATCGAGCACCATACCGCATTTTCTTATTGATATAAATTTTTTATCAAAACTTTTATTACACGTAAATGAATTCTCTGCGAGATTGACAGAACCAATTTTAAAATTTGTCTCACCGAGACTAAATGTGCAGGCAAAAAAACATTTGTTAAATTTACTTAAAATTTATACATTCCAAAAGTATAATGATGAAGACAGCAAGAATGATATCTATGGACGGAAAATATTTACCGTTGAAGATTTTGATGTAAGTTTAACAAGAAATAAAGCAAAAATATACAAGAAAGAGGGTGCAACTAAAAAGAAAACTGCTTACTTATTAACCGATCAAATAATGCGCAATTTACATTGGAAGCCAGCATCTGGTATGTTTATATAAGAATAAGTTTTTCTGATGATGCTGAATGAACTAATTTGGAAGGGAGAGATCAATAATATTAAATATTTTTTTATCTTATTTCTAGACACTCTTCTATCTTATCAATGGTTCGAGTGCCCCATTGGATTACTACCATGGCAGATGGATTCGTTAAAAAGTTTAGAACCACTTGAAGTAAATCCATTAAAACACTCAGTTTCAATCCTGGACTCGCAAATAATTGCCGGCATTATAAATCGTAAAAGTTTGAAAATGAAAAGCCGTATCAAGTGGGAAAATATATTGCGAAAAAAAAGGAGGATAGAGAAAAAACGTGACAAGAGTATCGCAGACGTTATAATGACTAGAGCATTAGAAATCATCAAAAAAAGAGACACAATGTGAACGCGTAAACATTTTATAGTAGAATATTATCGTTTATCACAAATTGTTTGCATTTCAACCAATGTATAAGTTAATGTACATACTTATAATAAAATTGATTAAAAAATAAATCCATCCCTTTGTAGAACATGCTTATATTATAAATATATAAATGTAAAGTTTTATAAATATCAAGTTTGCATTAAACATAAAAAATAATTGTTTTATAATATATTGCAGAAATGTGGAGAAAGTTTCTCTCGCTATGCATTCGAACACATTTACTATTGGCATAGTTATATATAGTCACACACACATTCACGCATAAATATATCATTCACTTATTTTCTCCTGTATGTGACTTATATATATATATATAAAATTACCACATACACTATACATTTAAATATATTAAGTTACATAGTTGTTCTTTTTTCTCTAAATATAAAAGTATTAAGTTTCTTTAGTATCACAACATTCAAGCACCATTACTTTAAATTAGGTATAAAAAAAGAAATGTATTGTTTTTTTAAATTATCGTGCTAAGATATACATTTCTTCATATTTCACAACTTATCATAACAGAATTAGATTTTTATACACACATAATTAAATGTAAATTCAAATAATGCATATTCATATAATGCGGTATGTATATATATGTACCTGCATTTCTCTCTCTCTCTATTGTCTTTGGTTCTGAAAAATTACGTTTTCGAGGAGATGTATATGTATATGTACATATATTGTTATTTTTGACATTTGTGCTCGGCATTTTAGAAAGAATAATTTATTTGATCTGTTGTCTTTGTTTTTCTGAGCACTTCTTGCAAATTTTTGTTGGTTTCTAAGCCGAACATATTTAAGGGCAGCCGAGACATCGCCGCTATTCTAGAATCAACATACGAAATGAGAACGATAGGTCAGAGAAAATGGATTCTGAATAAAATAGTATACAATTGTATATGTATAACATATGACAATATAAAAATTCCCTCTCTTACAATTGTACCACACGAGAGACTTACCTTCCACCAGACACATTATAAAGGAATCTCCAATAAGATGATCTTAAATTTTGTGGTTCTATTATAGCTGTATGAAAGAGAGTGGCCGTGCTAAAGCAATATAAAAAGATCACGAACCATTTTATTTCTGGTACTTTTTCATTTTCTGCTGCATCATTCCATAATAGCTAAAGCAAAGTAAAGTGATGTTACAAATGGCTAATCATGAATTGATATTGATGGAAATTGTGTATAATGAAAGTAGTAGGAATGGTAGTAGTAGTAATAATGATAATGATAATAATAATAATAATAATAATAATGATAATAATGATAATAGTAATACATAAATAATGTAATGCGAACCTTGATTAAGTCCAGCGGAATAGCATAAGTGCGTGAATCTTTATGGAAGATTCTTCTCAATAAGCATGACATCAGCTATGTACAAAGAAAAGAAAAAAGCGAAAATAATTACTCGTGAAAGATATTTGTTAGAATTTGTTACTAATATTATTTGATATTTTCCATGTGTTACATAGAAGTACATCAGAAAAAAACATACCCTATAAAGGCCGGCAAATCCTCCAAGGAATACAGCCAGATTTAGATTTCCTCTTTGAAAAATGATCATTTTTAATAACTTTGGCTTTTGAAGTAATTTTTTAAATTGAAAGATTAATTTAAGCGCTATTTGGCCGCAAACAATGTAACTGAAGATTCTTGCACTATCCTTTGAACAGCAAGATATAAAAAATAAATTTCGGGGTGTGTATATCTACTTTAAAAATATTTCCATATTGTTAGTCTTACCATTAAAATGTAGTGCGCGCAGCTATAAGGATGTGGACATGAGGCATGTTTACTCTGCGCTTTTAAGGTATTAATGATATATTTGTATGCCTCAAAAGATTTTTGTAGAACATTAAATCTAGAATTTTGAAAGCTTCTTTGTATATTTCTATCGTTCTCTGCGCTGCCAATTTCGGTATTTTTGGAGGACGTTTCAAAATATAAATTTCTTCTTGTAAAACATTCAGCCTCTTCATACCGCCCAACAATTATCCTATTTTTTAAACACATATATAAAGTATGCTATAGAAAAACGATATAAATGTATACAAATGGATAAAATATAAATCTCGATACCTAAGTATTTTATGTATTTGATCCTGCTTATTCATTTTTGAACGGAAAAAATATAGTAACACAGCTACGCTTACAGCAAAAATATAGACCTCTCCTTTTGGAATAGGCGAAAAATATCCTCTCCACACACCCATTTTAGGGAAATTAATGTTGAAAATATGCATTTGTTATCTGATTGTCGCAACGTCTACTTACAATATTTGATACATAGAGACACAATAATGTACGCCTAGAAGATCTTTCTATCACAATGGCAGATAAGCTAGATAAAAAGGATGGAAGGAAAGATACAGTCGGCAAATAGAAACGTCCCAATATTCGTCTGAAACAATTATCATATATCATATATTTTTCATTATTGTCCATATGTTAAATGCGTGTGTATATGTGTGTGTGGACTGTATAAATTAGATATATTAATTTCTATTTAATATACTTTATTATTATTATATACTATTATTATTATTAATCTATGCTATAACTTATAAAAGATTACAAAGTGTACCCCTTTATTAAACATAAACGAGACATTCTGCATACATTAAATTGAACTTTTTGACACACACACAGACATTTTAAAAATTCATTAAACAGTATGTGTAATGTATATTTAATATTTTTCTCACCTTAACAAACAAATAAACAATGAATAAGAAAAACCACTCCATGAAAGAAATGCTGTAGATTGAAGAATACCTAATATAGTTTTCTTAATGTCTCTTTTTGATGGTACCTTTCTTTTCATTAAAAATGCAATCTGAAATGGCAAAAATAAAAGTCAGTATCAAAAGAGAGTAAAAATTTAATAAATATTTTAAACTAAAATTTGTATTTATATTTTATCACACAAGTTGCACATTGCAATAAAGAAGGGAAAAGATTGTCTCTGATATAAAAATATATCGATAAAAAAAAAAAAAAAAATAATAATAATAATAATAAAAGTGTTAAAGGAAAGAAGCGCGGGATTATTCGTTCATAAATATTCGATAACCTAATCTACATATTGTTATTTTTCCTGAAAATGTTAAAATAAAAAAAGCAACGTTCAAACAGACAGCCAAGTCTGTCGCCCGCGCGATAATAAAATTTACAAAATTAATTTGTTTATAAATTTATCTACAAATTTTGTAACAGATACCAGTATAGAAATTTTACAGAATCTGCCAATACAGGAGGAGTACATATACTATGACTATAGAGAAGATTTTGCTTAATGAATAATTATAATTATCGCTTATCATCGCTAATGATAAAGCGCCATTAATCCGCATAGACAAGCCTTATCGTAAACTTGCATGTAACGTTGTTATAATAGTTGCTTTCCATTTACATCAAAACTCAGATAATTCTCACTTGCGTTCTCTCTCGCTCGCACGTAGCATACATTCGAGTGAGAGAGAACGCAAGTGAGAATTATCTGAGTTTTGATGTAAATGGAAAGCAACAAATATAATGCTGTTGTAAGAATAAAAGTTATACAAAAACGATGCTCGACAAATACTCGGTAAATTGATACTGATAATGAGTGCAATGCAAATATCCAATATTTAATAGTAATGATCAATTAATAACGCGAAGAAAAACAAATGACACATAGGTAAAGTTGCATATTGCCCGTTATGAATAATTTAGTTTCTTTGGCATGTCAAATGTTGTATAATTGTTTACAAAAATTATATAAGACAAATAAAATCTCATAAATCTCTTTCAGATAATACATATGAAATGAAAGATGTATAGCATATTTAATTACAATATTGAGAATTCAAAGAAACAAGGAGAAAAAGAAGTTTTCGTTGTTCTATAGAGTTGTGAATCTCTCATATTCAATCTCTCATTTAGTATTAAAAGTGATTGTGACAATTGATCCTTTGGTTTGACCGACGAAAATTCATGTTAAATAACAAACAATCGCGCTTAAAATATCATATCACGTTGTGACGGCCACATACAGCTTAAATGCGTCGAATATAGGACGTGCGTATATTATTATATAACGTGCGCGAAATTCGCGCATTCAGAACGCACATATGTCTGCGTACATCTGCACTGTAAGCTCATTATCACTCGTCGGACATTCCCCCATGCCCCATGCCTCGGTGCACGCGCATCAATGGGAGTGTAAGCGCACTTGACATTACAATGTCTCGTCCCATTGTCAGTGCACCTGCTTAAAGAAATGGTCCCACAAAACAGGCATAAATATGTTAATAATGAAAGAATATAAGTGAAATATGCATCTTTGTATACTCATGTCCGTTAAAGAGAATACATGCATGCGTGTGCGGATGTACATTACATATATAAAATATAAAATGTTCGACTGTATGTACATATACATATGTGTAAATATTCGAACGTAATGCAAATCGTTGAATATAATTATTCAACTATTAATTAATGCGCAAACGGAACAAAAACAAATAAAGAATAATTTATAATTGTTTAAGTATATATAAAGATATACGCACACATGATATTCTGATGTAATAAGAATAAAATAACAATGAAATACGGTGATGCATTTACACTTGCACGTACTATGTAAACAGTAGTGTATATCTTGAAGGATTCCTGTATAGAGTGCAAACCGAGACCAGTGCTCGCGCTAACGCAGGAGTCCGTCCATGGGTGAGCGTAATCCATGCAGGTCGTGTCAATCGATAATTTGCTGAGTCGCGCGGGCATCGTCACTCGTCACTCGTCGCTGCGATCGGCAGCAGCGACAATGACAATAACACAATGACAATGACGGAATAATATATATAACTCGCCACGTGAAGCGACAATTATCGGCGGTGCGTCGAGTGGTACATTTATAAAAAACGTGATCTCTCTCTCTCTCTCTCTGCTTTCCGTATAGCACCCTGTAGCAAGTCGCACCCGTATGCTAGCTAGCTCAAGTGTCACAATCAAAAGATCAAGAGACGTTGTGTTTTGCGTCAAGTCATGTGCAGCAAGCAACAAGATCAGATTCGATACGAGTTTCTAATAGCAAATCGCATCTTGTTATTGTCCTATTTGTCGACACGAAGAGATATGAGCAGGTGTGTTCACCACGTTGATTCGATCTTATCCTATTGTCAACGAGACCGAAAAAAAAACGAGGGAGAGAGAAGGGGCAAAAGACAGAAAGAAACGAAAAAAAAAAAAAAAAAAAAAAAAGACACGCTTTCACAACGCTTCACAATAGCACAAGTCAGCACAGGCTGAGATTCTCGGACGAACTTTGGCGAATACAAAGTCGATATGCACTGCAAGGTCACGCAAAGTAGAACGATCATAAACGGCTATTCGATACTCGCTTCCATGTTGAACGACCGTCAACGACTGACGGATGACGGTTGACGGCTGACCGGCTGACGGCCGACCATAGACTATAGACTCATAGTATATCTAGATCGAGCGTTCGCCTTTATTTATTTAAGGAGTAGCGGTAAGTGCCGGTCTACAATAGGTGATTAAGGCCCTAAGCCTTAAGAAATTGACTAATCACAGTCGAGTATTCTCCTCATACTTGACTATGATTGGTCAATTTCTTAAAGCTTAAAACTTAAATCACCTATTGTAGACCGGCACTAAAGATGCACGTAGAAAAGGATACACTCTGTTCTGTACTCCTTGCGTTCTCTCTCGCTCACAGGTAGCATAGCGTACTCTTCCGCCATAGACATAGTATATCTAGACCAAGCGTTTGCCTTTATATTTAAAGAGTGGGGTGAAGATGCACGTAGAAAAGGACATACTCTGTTTCGTGCCCCTTGCGTTTTCTCTCGCTCGCATGTAGCATAGCGTACTCTTTCGCTATGCTACATGCGAGTGAGAGAGAACGCAAGTAGCATGGAACCATAGACATAGTATATCTAGACCGAGCATTTGCCTTTATTTAAGGAGTGGGGGCCGATGCCCACGTAGAAAAGGACATACTCTGTTTCGTGCCCCTTGCGTTCTCTCTCGCTCGCACGTAGCATGACGAAAGAGAGCGCTATGCTCTGTGCGAGCGAGAGAGAACACAAGGGGCACGAAACAGAGTATGTCCTTTTCTACGTGCACCTCGGCACCCACTCCTCAACACTCGGTCTAGATATACTATGTCTATGCATGGAACAGAGTATATCCTTTTCTATGTGCACCTTGGCACCGACGAGATATCATTAAAGATCGGTGGTCTTATGGGATTTAGTGTAACTGGAAAAAAAAACTCGCTACTTGGCCCTCACTCCTCAACACTCGGTCTATATATATACTATGTCTATGTCTTCCGCTATGTTACATGCGAGCGAGAGAGAACGCAAGGAGCACGGAACAGAGTATGTCCTTTTCTACGTGCACCTTGGCCCCCACTTCTCAACACTCAGTCTAGATATACCATAGACATAGTATATCTAGACCGAGTGTTGAGGAGTGGGAGCCGAGGTGCACGTAGAAAAGGACATACTCTGTTTCGTGCCCCTTGCGTTCTCTCTCGCTCGCACGTAGCACGACGAAAGAGAGCGCTATGCTATGTGGGAGCGAGAGAGAACGCAAGGGGCACGAAACAGAGTATGTCCTTTTCTACGTGCATCTTTACCCCCACTCCTTAAATAAAGGCAAACGCTCGGTCTAGATATACTATGTCTATGAGATATACTATGGTCTAGTTTACACAGATATACTTTAATATGTACTAAGTACTACATTGGCCAATCATAGTCATTCCCTTAAAGAATGGAACGGCTGTGATTGGACAGTATAGTATTTAGTACGTATTAAAGTATATCGGTGTAAACTAGGACACTGTTCTAATATGTACAGAATGTGTGTGCAATGCTACATTTACCGAAGCAGATGCTCTGTGTAGGAAAAGTCCATAACGACTCGTTTATTGTCCCGATATCGATCTTTTTCGACTCGAAAATTTTGAACTTCTCTCAAAAAAGAAATATCGTGTATACGTGGGCACGGTTCATCTCAAAAAAATGTTGGCATCAATCTACAACTTAGGGCCAATTTCACCAAGTCCGGTTAGATGAACCGACGGTTAAAATTAGCAGGGTTCCAACTGAAATGATATGAATACTTGGTTTTCCTTCACCTCTATTTTCTGGTGGCCACTCTGCTAATTTTAACCGTCGGTTCATTTAACCGGACTTGGTGAAATTGGCCCTTAATAACACGAGTTAGCCAAAGATAGTAGCACGAAGAAACAGAGGTATCTGGTTTGACCTGCCTATCCGATTTTATTACCCTATTTTCCCCTATATCCGGATAAAAACATACATTAAAACTAGAATTGTAACGAATATTAGGTAACTATTCGGTATTCTGCCTATTTGGCAACGTTTTTACTATTCGGCCGAACACCGAATATTAGTCTACTATTTGGTCGAATACCGAATAGTTTTAAATGTAAAACTGGAAGGAAATAGTGTAGCTAATAGACTGTTATCATCTCAGCCGCTGATGCATAATTTTAACATGCTCGAGTGTCTAATTTGTTTATTTATATATCTAATAAAATAAAATTAAATAAAAAACATTTATTGTTACATAATATATTTATGCAGGGAGGCGTGGTTGGGAGTGCCGCGCGCTCGCTGCATTGTTTTCGAATAGTCTATGTGGAGCCGTTGGCGCTAAAACCGTGCCTAATATTCGCCAAATATTCAGTTATTCGGCACATGACCTTGTCTAATATTCGGTATTCGGTATTCGGACGAATGTACTATTCGTTGCATCTCTAATTAAAACATATATGTGATGCATAGAATTATATGTAAATAGAATTTTGTGTGTCTTGAATTTTGTCGCGATTTATAGATCATCTAAAGGGAGGCCTTAATTATCTATTCGAAACCATGATATCGAACGGTACGGTAGAGAGGGATCGGTGATTGTGTTTGAGTTTTAATTGGGTACACAATAGGAAAATTTCCGTAGCAGATAGGCTACGATTAAACATATATAAGGATGTCCAAAAGTATCGTCGATACGCGTAGTAATGAGATCATCGTCAACGGAAAAAGGTATCGTCGATTACACTGCATCGATTACGATCGAAGGAGTAACATGTGACTGTTGCGTCAGTCAATCCATATCGACGACATCATCTACATACATTTCATCGATATTTCGTTCGATGTATAGCGAAAACATGTAAGTGTTTCAGTCTCATACTATCCGGTATTTATAGTCTGTTCTTATATTTAAGATTGTCTTAAGATCTCATTTAACCAATGAAATGGCATAGCATCGCATAGCATCGCATAGCACTTTAAGACCGTACTTGAAATGATCTTAAATATAAGAATGGACTATGAATCAGTATGTATAATTAATTATGTAATTAATCAACGAGAAGTCCACGCGTTTGATTTACTGTTGGTAAGATGTAATAGAGAATCTTGCGACGAGCCCACGCGAATTTGCTGCAGAATTGTAGTCGAACTCTGTAATTGAATTCGCGGAATGCACAATTTTATTTCAATTTTTATCAACATATGAGAAGAGAGAAGATTTAAAACAAACTGGACTTTGATATTTCATTTAGTTATCGAGATATTCGGCCTGTTACATTTGAACTTTAACACCCTGTATAGTATTAGTATTTTGTATTAATAATAATATTATATATTATAGTAGTAAAATCAGTAATATAAATAATTACATAATAACATTTTTAGCGCGTATTTATATGAGAGAAGGTTAGAAAGTAAAGAAGAGGGAGGGAAGGTTCCTATAATTATAATTATCAACCTTGTGCTGTGCATGTAGTGAGATGATTACATGCAATATGAAACAATATTGCACGTAATCTTAGCGGTCAAGATCTAAACTTTATGTCATGTTAGCCAAGAATATTATCTCACTATCAGTTAATATAAATAGACATATAATGTATATTTCATTGATACATTATTGCACGTCGATTTAAAATACTAAATAAGTTTAAAAGACTAATATAGCGGGAGGTTCACACATCACGTATAAAGTAAATTCACGCAAAATATCTCACTTTTTTATTTCTTTTCAGAATCTGTACATATATAGTTTCGGATTTTACGAAAAAACTATTAAATCAACGGAGATTTTTAAAACTTTATTACACATTGCACATCTAATGTGTAAAGCTTGTTGTAATTTATACATTACGTTAATCGCGATGCAATCATGAAGATGAGCGTCGGTCTGAAGACAATGGCTTTCGTGAAAATAAATCGCCGTGTTCGGCGAATTTTAAACATACGCAAGTACGGTGAGTATAATATCTGTCATGTGTGTGTGTGTGTGTGTATGTATGTGCGAATATATGTACATTAATATGTATATATATGTATATAATTATTTAATATTTTTTTAAAACTCTACTACATTACATATATGAGTGAGAAAGAAAATCAATCGATCTTTTTAAAAATATGTTGAATTTGTTTTATCAGTTGATAAAACATTAGCACAAGCGCAAAGATTAATCCAATCAATAGTTCAGAGAATCAAAATAAGCTATAATGTAATGTGCGCGACATGATTTTACAAATTTTACCAATATGCAATATATATAATTTTTCCTGCTTTTTTCCACCATTTTTGGTTTCATGACTTTGTCTTATGTCTTGTTTTTGTGACCCGTATGTGATTTCTGATAATCGACCTATCAGAAATTCAAAAATTAATCGATTGAGAAATTTGAATTTGATTTCAAAATTTAAATTGGATTTACAAATTAACTAAACTTACCGCATTAATCTTTTTCTCTCATTTTTTTTTGTTTTTTAACCTCTGTTTATGACCATTTTTACGACCGTTGTTTTTATGATCGTATCGACCGTGTCAACATTAGTCATCATTATATTGTAAATGTAAACCATCGACGATATACGTGCGGCGATGGCGATTGGATGCTGTCTATTTAATTATACAGTTTCTACGTGGGTCTTATTGTTAATCTTTTTTCGAATTGTTGATTTTAGTTTAAGATTTGACTGCAACTGCAAATGTGGTGCATGTCGGGTTTTAAAATACTAATTTGATCTCTATATATTTATACCTATGCTGAAGATGGACCAAAAACTGAAACGTACATTTTTAAATGCGCATTGGTTAATTGAATTTAACAATAATAAATTTGCGCCCCGATACCCGCGCCTGGGCTTTTATCTGCCAGTTTTTCTAATTGTTCTTACCTTGAGCTTATTGCTATCATTATTGAATATATATAATGTTATTTTATAAATTAAAACAAATGTACGACAAAAATACATTCAACATTTAAATGTGGTTTATATATAGTCATAATGGAAAATGTAACAAAGAATATGTGCATTAACTTGTAAAATCGTAATCCTAAAATCATTCTGTACGTGGCCTATTTTGATTGCATGTTGTTATCGTGATTGACAATGCAATAATATCCGTTTAGTTAAAACATCCGTTAAAGTGACCACAAACTTATGAATAGTACAGCCGCGGAGAGACAAGTTGATTTAATACTTGTTCGTTATTTTACGATGAAACGGACAGAAATTACATATTCCAGCAAACTGTACCACAAATGTGCAATCGAATGAGTTCGGTGGTTGAAAGAGGGGTCAACCGGACGGTCGGTTGCGCGTTTTCCAGCTGATTGACGTTATATACATAACGCACGAGATTATTGTTATCTCTCGCATGAGATTACATAAAAGTAAAAAGTATCTTTGCTGTAAAAAACAACGGGAGATGAAGCGCGGAAGATGTAGAAAGAGATACGAGACATGAATATTGCGTTTTCGAATAAGAGACCGCTCTTGCCAGCATGAAAATCTATAAATTTCAGTCGGCGTCTTATCGCGCGCGCGCGCGCGCGCGCTCGTATCGGCATAAAATACTAAATTTATAAATACGCATTGCAACTAGCTCGTTGTATGGAAACGATTCAAAGCAGAGATAGTTTAATCGTTCGTACACAATGGAGCGAAAGGCGTGAAACTTATTATTGTTAGACTTTTTGATTATTGTTATAAGAATAATTTCCGCGTGCGCTAATTAAATCGCATCCGAATATTCTCTTTTATCGTTGTTGTTTTGTTGCTTCAGCTCTCTAGTGCATATTGCAGAATGTGAGAGCAATAATTTTTTTTCATCACAGTGAGCGATCAACTTCTCGCGGATGGCGAAGTGAAGAAGCAAAGGATACCGTTAAACATCAATACCAACATGCTGAAAATCGGCTTTCTCGGCGGAGGAAAAATGGCTCAGGCCCTCGCCAGAGGTTTCATACGAGCAGGTAAATAATTTTTCTCTATAAAATATAAAAATATAGCTGTATACTATATTTTAACGATACATAACTTTTTTTCTTAATGTATACGTTTTAATATTTTTTAATAATGTATGGACTATAGATATAAATCAATTACATACACACACGCGCACTCACATATATATGTATATAAAATTAAAATAGTTGAATGTATACATATAAATTTAGTCGACAAAAATTGATTGAAAATATCTCGAATGTGTTTTTCGCATCTTTTCACGAGATTTCTTTTTTTATTTTACAGGTTTAAGCAAAGGCGAGATGATGCTGGCCAGTTGCCTTCCAAATGATATTGGAAGCATTGAGACATTTAAAGTGAGATCATAGTTTATTCTATCTTTATATAATGTGTGAAGATCGATAATAAATCGACGAGCATTTCTTTTGTTTATAATACAATGTTCGATAAGAAAATATCACAGATGATAAGACTCGCAATACACGTTGTGATGAATCGGCAGTCTGTCCGTAAGTTCTTTGTGAGATATCAAAAACATTTAACAAAGAAAAGAAGAGAATGCTCGCGCTTTATATTGTTGATTTTATTCTGAAATTTTCAAGATTTAGTAGATAAATTCAGTCAGAGATGTAATAATGAAGGAAAAAAGATGTAATTAATATATAATATTTATACGTACATACATATATTTGCACATTTTAGCCAGTACAATGCGATTAAAAGTACCTATTATAAGAAGCTGCTATAAAGAAAAAAAACGATAGTCATTTTGTGTTCTTATTCATTAAAAGGGAGCAATTAAGATATATATACATATATTAAACCCCATTCCGAAATAAGCCGGATAGAGTTTATAATATTCAACTGTTGCACATTTATCTGTAATCATTTATCAATCGTGTACAATTTATTCGTAATTGATTTTTTCATAATTTGATATTTATATATTATCGCAAAATGTACACGAAGAGTTTTAGGGTAATATCATCGCGCCTGATTCTAAATTCTACTAGATTCCATTTTTATGAATTTTATATACGAAATTTATACTTTTATCATATGAAAAAAGCATGAAAGACAATAAAGTTTCGTGTGTTATATATATACATACATACATACATACATATGGCGTGCGCATACACAGAAACGCGCGCAGACGTTATATATATATATATTAAATGTACCAAACCTGTATCTAATTAATTAACATTTTTAGGAAATGGGATCAAATACTGTTTTCGCTAATGCTCCAGTCATAGATTACGGTGATGTGCTGATCTTATCGGTGAAGCCACAAATTGTACCGAAAATTCTGCCAGCGTTGAAGATGCACGACAATAAGAAATTACTCATCTCTATCGCCATGGGTATCTCCTTGACCTCATTAGAAAAGGTAAAATATCTTTATTGTAATAAATTTATTATTATAATAGTTAATAACGGTAATTGGGTTAAATCTAAAAAAAAGGAACAGGGGAAAGAGCTCCAATACGTTTTTTTAAAAATATTTTTATGTTTTCCATCGCAGCTTTTACGATTAGTTTATATTATTGGCCCCTTCCTCTCTAAATTTTTTACACTTTTTTTTAAAATAAGAATTTATTGATGTCCTATGATGATTTATTGCGTGCAAACTAGTCGTAATAAAAAAAATGTAACAACATATTTGAGGAAAGATATATGTTCAGGCGCTGCCAAAAGACACACCCGTGATAAGAGTAATGCCAAATACACCGGCATTAGTGGGTTGCGGAGCCACGGTGTTTGCGCGTGGCAAGCATGCGAGCGATAAGGATGCCGAGGTCACGGAGAAATTATTTTCCGCCGTAGGCATTTGCGAAGAAGTCCCGGAAAATTTCATCGATCCTGTCACTGCCTTGGCCGGTTCCGGTCCTGCTTATGTTAGTAAGCTTTCCGTTAATTCGTTCGGTGAATATAATTTTCAAACGCGTGTGTAAGAAAATAATCTATGTAAGAAAATTAATTTACCCTTTTTATTTTTTTGTTTCTCATCGCTATCCTTGCAATTAGTGTGTATTATTGGTTCCCCCCTTGCGTCTCTTTGGATTTTTTCCCCAAGCATCTTTCTTGTAAAATTATTACAATATTTAACGGGGAAAAAAAATTTCTTCCAGGTATATATGATAATCGAAGCTATGGCTGATGGTGGTGTGAAAATGGGGCTTACCAGATCCATCGCATATAAACTCGCCGCGCAAACTGTTTTAGGCGCCGGTACTATGGTCCGTGAGACAAATATTCATCCAGGACAGCTTAAGGATGACGTAACTTCACCAGCAGGTCAGAATTTGTAAATATGCAATGTGATGTATCTCCTATTTCTTAATCAATATTTACACTTTTTTCAACTTTTTTATAGGATCCACTATAACTGGTATTCATCATTTAGAAAAGCACGGTTTAAGGTCGGCACTAATCGATGCCATAGAGGCGGCAACGCTTCGATGTAGAGAAGTTAGTTTACAGACAAAAAAAGATTATTAATAGCAACAAAGATTGTTGTTACATATAATAATAATTGTGTATCAATGACATGCATTTTAAAGGATTAAATATGTAAACGTGGATTGATATATATATATATATATATATATTGGGTCCAAATATAAGGGTGGAGCATTTAAAGTCTTACAAGCTATTATCTCTGAAAGTACACATTATAGCAAAAAATGTTTTAGACAAAAGTTATTCGATTTGAATGGGGACATAAGAAGATGCCATTTATTTGACCTTGGATAGTCGTTTGAAGGTCACGTGAAGGTCACCTTTAATTTTTTAAATGGAAACCCTCATTTTCCATTACATATTCTTGTAACTTACCTTGAGAGCTTTTCAAAATACTACAAAAAAAATATTTTTTCATTAAGTATTTTTCGAGTTATTTTATATCTTAATGTAACATATTTTGATATAAAAAATAAAAAATTTAATTTTTGATAATTTTATCGTAATACTTTTATGTACAAAATAATGAGACAAATTGATTGGTATAAAAAAACTAATTGTTTTTAAGAAAAAGTATATAATTATATTTGCAATGTATTTTGTTTAAGCAATTATTTGTTTTTTTTTTTACATCAATTGATTCAAGATCAAACTAATGGCATCTTCTTATGTCCCCCTTCGAGTCAAATAACTTTTGTCTGAAACATTTTTTGCTATAATGTGTACTTTCAGAGATAATAGCTTATAATACTTTAAATGTCCTACCTGTATATAGCTTTAATATATGTAGCACAGATAGCTTTTGGAAGCAACCATTGTGCTAACAATAAAATTCAGTTTGAACCATTTAATTTGATATATATTTGTTACGGTCTATCTATACGCCCACAAGTGTGCGCACGTGTGTAAAAATTATGTTAAATTATTGTGTGTGGTAGCAGAATAAAATACTATTACTATCCATAATAAAAAAACACTCTGTTAGCCTCTCAAAAAATTTTTTGTTCTCTTACTATGAATAGAAACAAAATTGTGTAAATAATTATCTCTATAACACAGCTAACAGATAATTTTTTAATCGTTTGGACATAATTTTTACACGAAATAAGATATATATAGATCTGGGAATATTAAATATTATAATGATAGATTTATAACATAATAAACATCTATATAATGATGTCTACAAAATATAAAAAGTAAAGTTTATTGATATTTATAAATCTAATAATGTATTTAAATTTATTAACTAATTCTTGTTGGCTATTTTTAATAGCTTTTCAGCTTTATATGGTAATTTTTATTGGCAATTTTTAATAATTGATTTATTAGGTATTTTTTAACTAATATAAATTACACACCGAAACAAGACTGATGTTTAGAAATGATCAAAAAAATGTGTATAAGAAAGAATTTGTGTGTATCCTTATCTATTTAAAAAAATTGTGTATAATTTTAATTTAATAAAAATAATTTCTAATTGTGTATGTTGTTTATTATACCTTGTAAAAAAAAGTGTTTGGCTACATGTATTAGTATATTATATGCATTGCATTGCTTATATTTGTTATAAACATATCTAATTTAATACAAAAAAGTATATATATATACTTTTGTATTAATATATACATATATATACTTGTATCATACATCAATGGATTGTTCTTTTTTACTTGCGTGCTTAAGGGTCGGCAGGAGTGACGGCCAAACTCCGAATTGATATTGGAGACCTCGCGCGGTGACAATGCGAAACTCCGACTTCAGGATTACCATTCGTAATTCACGGCTTCCCGCGAGAGGTCTCTACTGTCTCTCCTGCCGACCCTTAATATACTCGCGCAAATTGGCAGCGTTCTCTTTCGCTATGCTACGTGCGAGCAAGAGAGAACGCAAAAGGGGCAACGAAACCTAATAGCGTTTTCGAATGTAGCAGGTTTAATCGCTCTGAAAGCGATTAATGATGTCATTGCATCGTCTCTGCCAATAAAAGGCTTGAATTCATAGTAAAATATAGTGATTAATTGAACCGGGTTGAGTTAACCCATTCGTCCGAAAACGCTACTAGTCTGATACGGGCTTAAGGTTATATATAAAGGGTTAAGGGCCACCGCACAAGCTTTTCCGTAAAGCCCGTTCTACATTGATCGCATGTCGCCAGTCGCAAGCAAATCGACCAATCACAATCGATTATTCCGTCGAATATTCGACTGTGATTGGTCGATTTGCTTGCAACTGGCGACATGCGATCAATGTAGAACGGGCTTTACGGAAAAGCTTGTGCGGTGGCCCTTAACCCTTTATATATAACCTTAAGCCCGTATCAGACTAGGTATTGAAGATTGAAATTTGACCAATCAGGA